TAGTGAGGGTAGGGAGTCTTTTTTTCACCCTGCCCGGGATGTTTTTTTCCCTGCCCGAAAAAGCGTATGCCAGATCCGAGCCATGAGCGTATAGCATATACACGCTAGCGTGTATACGCTATGCGTATATACGACGTACGCGTATATTCCAACATAGCTGCACATTACCATTACCATTACCATTACCACTGCCATTACCATTCGTAGTGTTATTACCATTACTAATATTATTACCATTACTATTACCATTACAATTACCATTGCCATTACCATCATCATTAACATTACTACTACCATTACCACTACCATTACAACTACCATTACCACTACCATTACGATAACAACTACCATTACCAAAACCATTACCATTACCACTATCATTACCATTACACTCATATAAGAGTGGTTTCATGAAGTACTAATTTGAGCTTAACAAAACACTTCTCTCACCTCCACTAAGGTACTTCTCGAGGTCCCCATTGGGGCAGAACTCATAAATGACGATCTGCTCGTGGTGCTCTGTTGTCATATCCATGTCCACACAGTACCCCAGCAGCCGCACCAAGTGCGGATGGCTCTTTGATGCCATCTCCTCCACCTGTGATGGGGAATAGAAATGAGGGGCAAACGTGGTGGTGGGTGATGAGTTTGTGCGAATGATGAAACACTTCCACACCATCTCCTCCATTTGCATGGTAACGCAAAAAAAAAAAAAAGAGTTACATTCGTTTCTTACCTCGCCTTTTCACTTCTTCCACGCGCACCTCTCTTTTGAAGTCATTCGTGAGTATCTTGGCGCGCTTCACAGCCCAAACCACGGAAGGGTCCACAGGAGACACTCCCCGATACACCTCCCCATACCCGCCCGACCCAATGTGGTTCGCCTCGGCCCAATCATTCGTTGCCTTGGCCACAGTGGCAAAGGAGTAGCGCTGGCACATGAGCGCCTGGCTGGGCATGACTGCTAACCCGTTGCCTTCTGATGCTCCGGCAGTCACTTGTGTTCCCTCGGGCTCCTCCTCCCGGCCGGCTGAAATGACAAGAGATAGGATGGGAACATAAGCTGGAAGGTTGAGGCACTGTGCCTTGGCAACAGTGGCAAAGGAGTAGCGCTGGCACATGAGCGCCTGGCTTGGCATGACTGCTAACCCGCTGCCTTCCGACGCCCCGGCAGTCACTTGTGTTCCCTCGGGCTCCTCCTCCCGGCCTGGTGGAGTGTGGCAAGGGATGGGATGGGATGGGATGGGATGGGATGGGATGGGATGGGAAGGGAAGACAAGCTGGAAGGTTGAGGCACTGAGCCTCGGTGACAGTGGCAATGGAGTAGCGCTGGCACATGAGCGCCTGGCTTGGCATGACTGCTAACCCGCTGCCTTCCGACGCCCCGGCAGTCACTTGTGTTCCCTCGGGCTCCTCCTCCCGGCCTGCAGGAGTGTGGCAAGGGATGGGATGGGATGGGATGGGGTGGAATGGGATGGGATGGGAAGACAAGCTAGAAGGGTTAGGTAGGCTCTGTGCCTTGGCGACAGTGGCAAAGGAGTAACGCTGATACATGAGCGCCTGGCTTGGCATGACTGACAAGCCGCTGCCTTCTGTCACCATGTCAGTTGCTTGTGTTGCATTGGTTTGTTCCTCCCGGCCTGCCGGAGTGTGGGAATAGGTGGGATGGGATGGGAAGGATAACAACTTGGTCGAGAACCTGCAGGAAGGGTTAGATCCTGGTCGAGCATGGGAAAGGAATGGACGGGACGGGAACGTGCAGGCCGGGACGTAACGCAACACAACTACGTGTGACTCTTTACAAAGAGGAGGGTCATGGAGACGGGAAGTAGACGAGCAGACGCAAACAAACGTAAGTGGATGAAAGCAACGTCAACTGGCCTACCCATACTTCACCTTGGGGTTTGGACTTTCGCTTCCAGAGAAGAAACAGGCCAGTAACGAGGAGGACAATAACGAGTACGCCGCCCACAGCAATGCCAATGATAGCCCCCAGAGGCAAACCGGAGGAGGAAGATGTGTCTGTGGGAGGAGGAGGAGGAGTAGTGTTATTGGCAGGAGGAGGAGGGGAGGGGCTAGCAGCAGGAGAGCCAGGGGAAGGGGCTGGGCTGTTGGAGCAGGAGGAGCAGAAGTCGGCGCAGTTGATGCAAAACTGGGAGGTGGAGGTTTGGTGGACCACACACGGCTGGCCTGCTCCTGGACACACCGTGCCACTCTCGTTGAGCTCACTGGCGGGTTGTCGGAAGGGAGAAGAAAGGGGGAAGGGGAAAGGCGAGAGAGGGCAGTGTTGATTAATGAAGGGGAAAGTGCCACCAGCATCATCATCATCATCATCAGCAGCAGCAGCAGCAGCAGCAGCAGCAGCAGCAGCAGCAGCAGCAGCAGCAGCAGCAGCAGCAGCAGCAGCAGCAGCAGCAGCAGCAGCAGCAGCAGCAGCAGCAGCAGCAGCAGCAGCAGCAGCAGCAGCAGCAGCAGCAGCAGCAGCAGCAGCAGCAGCAGCAGCAGCAGCAGCAGCAGCAGCAGCAGCAGCAGCAGCAGCAGCAGCAGCAGCAGCAGCAGCAGCAGCAGCAGCAGCAGCAGCAGCAGCAGCAGCAGCAGCAGCAGCAGCAGCGTTGTTGGAGCATGAAGAGCAGAAGTCGGGGCAGTTGATGGAGAACTGCAAGGAGGGGGTTTGGTGGACAACGCACGGCTGGCCTGCGAGGACGGGGTTTGGTATGTCATTACCATTACCATTACCATTATCATTACCACTACCATTACCATTACCACTACCACTACCACTACCATTAACTACTATTACCACTACCATTACTACTACCATTAGCACTACCATTACCATTACCATGACTGTTACCCTTACCACTACCATTACCACTACCATTAACACTACTATTACCATTACCATTACCATTACCATTACCATTACCATTACCACTACCATTACCACTACCATTACCACTACCATTACCACTACCATTACCACTACCATTACCATTACCATTATCATTACCATTACCACTACCATTACTATTACCATTACAATTACCATTACCATTACCATTACCATTACCACTACCATTACTACTACCATTACCATTACCACTGCTATTATCATTACCATTACCATTATCACTACCATTACCATTACCATTATCATTACCATTACTACTACCATTACTATTATTATTACCATTACCACTGCAATTACCATTACAATTATCATCACTATTACCATTACCACTCTCGTTCAGTTCTCTGCGAGTGGGGGAGGGAGGTAGAAAGGGGAATGGGTGAGAGGGGGAGGAGGGGGTCTAGAAGGGTAAAGAAGGCAGGGAGTAGGGCAAGGGGAGATGGGAAGAGGGATGGAAGAGGGAGGAGGGAAAGACACATGGCTGGCCAGCTCCTGGCACACTACACTTTGCCGCTCACTCAACATACACACGGGCGCGCACGCACGCACGCACACACGCACGCACGCACGCACGCACGCACACACACCTACCTTACACAACCCCCTTTACACTCACAGCGAGGTGAGGCGCAGGAAATTTCCGAGGGTGGGTGGAACGATGCCCGAGAGAGCATTGGCGACTCTAGGGTCAACTCAACGTTTAACCTCCCAATAGACACATACACCCCCTTTACAATCACACTCACACCTCCGCTGACACTTACAGCGATGGGAGGAAGAGGGGATTTTCAACATTCATCCCCACAATACACACTACCCCTCTCCCCCCCCCCCCCCCACCCTCTTGTACACACACTTACAGTGACGTGAGGAGAAGGAGATTCCCGAGGGTGGGAGGAACGATGCCCGAGAGAGCGTTGGTGGCGAAGCCCCTGCAGGGAGGTGGCGGGTGATGGCAATAGGCACGGTGGGTGGTGATGGGATGGCAATGGGGTATTTTGAGTGAGTGGCAGGTCTTGGCAATAGGCACGGTGGGTGGTGATGGGATGGCAATGGGGTATTTTGAGTGAGTGGCAGGTCTTGGCAATAGGCACGGTGGGTAATGATGGGATGGCAATGGGGTATTTTGAGTGAGTGGCAGGTCTTGGCAATAGGCACGGTGGGTGGTGATGGGATGGCAATGGGGTTTTTTTGTGAGTGGCAGGTCTTGGCAATAGGCACGGTGGGTGGTGATGGGATGGCAATGGGGTATTTTGAGTGAGTGGCAGGTCTTGGCAATAGGCACGGTGGGTGGTGATGGGATGGCAATGGGGTATTTTGAGTGAGTGGCAGGTCTTGGCAATAGGCACGGTGGGTGGTGATGGGATGGCAATGGGGTTTTTTTGTGAGTGGCAGGTCTTGGCAATAGGCACGGTGGGTGGTGATGGGATGGCAATGGGGTATTTTGAGTGAGTGGCAGGTCTTGGCAATAGGCACGGTGGGTGGTGATGGGATGGCAATGGGGTATTTTGAGTGAGTGGCAGGTCTTGGCAATAGGCACGGTGGGTGGTGATGGGATGGCAATGGGGTATTTTGAGTGAGTGGCAGGTCTTGGCAATAGGCACGGTGGGTGGTGATGGGATGGCAATGGGGTATTTTGAGTGAGTGGCAGGTCTTGGCAATAGGCACGGTGGGTGGTGATGGGATGGCAATGGGGTATTTTGAGTGAGTGGCAGGTCTTGGCAATAGGCACGGTGGGTGGTGATGGGATGGCAATGGGGCATTTTGAGTGACATTGGAGGGCATTGGTGGCAAACCCCCTGGAGGGAGGTGGAGGGTGGTAACAGAATGCATCGCATCACTGTCAGCGTGCGACGATAATGGCAAAAATTTGTGAGTTATAACTAAGTATTACTATTAATTGTAGTTCATTATTACTAGTTTCGTATTACTACTGGAACCCCTTGTGCCAAGGCCTAGTATTAGTGTAATTATTGGTTTTGTATTCACACAGACAGCCAAGTATACCAGAGTGCGAGATCACAATAACAAGTTTGCACCGTTTCTAGAATGATGAAAGCAAGTAAAGAGGAGGAAAATGGAATCGTACAGATATGTGAGATTTGTAAGGCTTCCCAATTGGGAGGGAATTTCTCCGGAGAACTGGTTATTGTCAAAGTGCCTGCAACAAGGGAAGGTGGTTGGATTGGGGGGATAATGTGACATTTTGTCGCTTCCCTCGCAACATTTGATACAAGAATTACCTTACTCATATCATACCCCTGCCATTTTGAATCAAGCAATCTAATGGCAACTTAGGAAACCAAATTCCGGGTCAACTCAACATTCCATTGCAGCACTCAGGAAACTCAAATTCGCTTAAGACGATGCAAGAGCCGTAAGATGGGATAAGAGCATCATCATAAGGTGCCTCAAGAAACGGAACGAAGAGACAGAATGAATGAACGGAATGCGCCATCAGAACATACAGCATGCTGAGGTTGGTGAGGGTGGCGAAGAAAGAAGGGATGGCGCCTCGGAAGATGTTGCGGGCAAAGTCACTGGGATTATGGGAAGGATGGCGGGAGGGATGGTTTGTAAGTGATGACTTGTGAGTCGACTCAGAGTCAATGTGGAATGAGAGGCCCTCTCATTAAGGAATGATGAGAGGAATGATGAACCGCACCACACCGCACCGCGCTGCACCACACCATCACAATTTGCATGGCAAGCATACATGATGTGAGTGACTTTCTTGAGCGAGGCGAGGGTTTGTGGTACTCCACACCACACCACACCACACCACACCACACCACACCACACCACACCACACCACACCACACCACACCGCACCACACCACACCACACCACACCACACCACACCACACGCACCACATCACACCGCACCGCATTGCACCACACCACAAGAATTCGCAGGCATACATTAGGAGGAGTTTCTTGAAAGCAAGGGTTTGTGGTATGCTGCCGGTGAACTGATTGTACAGAGCCACACCGCACCACACCACACCACACCACACCATACCACACCATACCGCACCACATCGCACCGCACCGCACTGCACCGCACATCACTGCATCACACCATCAGAATTCGCAGGCATACATTTGATTGAGTTTCTTGAAAGCAAGGGTTTGTGGTATGCTGCCGGTGAACTGATTGTACAGAGCCACACCGCACCACACCACACCACACCCCACCCCACCACACCACACCATACCACACCGCACCACATCGCACCGCACTGTACCGCACAGCACTGCACCACACCATCAGAATTCGCAGGCATACATTTGATTGAGTTTCTTGAGCGAAGCGAGGGATTGTGGTATGCTGCCTGTGAACTCGTTGTCTAGGAAAACACTGATAAAGGGGAATAGCAAACGCAAAGGGCCATGAATAAACAGGGGTGAAATGGGATGTGAAGGGGTGAGATGGATGGGGTATGCAGGAAAGAATGCCAGATAAGTGCTTTATGAAAATGATTCTTGCATGCGGAGCAGAGTTGACTTATGAATTGGTGGCCTGTGTGTGTCTTTCATGGATATCTGGTTTTGAGTCGACTCAAAAGCAAGTGCTTTTTGGAAACGATTCTCCCATGCGGAGCAAAGTTGACTTTTGAATTGGGGAATCTGTCTTCCGTTGACGTCCTTTGACGATTTGTGCATGGGACGCAAAGCTGACCAGAATAGAGTACTAGTCAGATTCTGCTATTGAGGCGCCTCATGAGTCAGCTTCTTATGAGCAGTGAGGTGCATTTTGAGGCACCTTAAAATGCGCCTCATGAGTCAGCTTCTTACTTACACAGTCTGCAAGTTGGTGAGCTTGCCAAACTCTGTCGGAATGGAACCAGAGAACATGTTGTATGAAAGGTCACTGCACGGAGGGAGGGGATGATGAGAGAGGAGAGATGACTTTGAGTTGTTGACTCAAAAGCGGCAAAGCTTGCAAGTTGGTGAGCTTGCCAAACTCTGTTGGAATGGAACCAGAGAACATGTTGTATGAAAGGTCACTGCACAGAGGGAGGGAATGATGAGAGAAAAGAGTGAGAAAGTGGCAAAGCTTGCAGGTACAGAGGGAGCCTTTTCTATTTGGTAGGGATGGAACCGAGAGAGGCGACAGACGAGAGAAGGGAAAGAAGAGCGAGAAGCAAGAGAAGAAAGAGAAAGCGAATGATCTGACGATGGAAAGAGAGAGGCTCTTGTATGTGACGTGAATACACCCAGCACAGGTGTAAATAAATAGGTCTGCTGAACCCTAAAACCCGAAACCCTGAACTTAATCAATTGTCTTGTATGCGAGGTGACAGGGCCCACAGGTGTACAGAACATATTCTGTGGAACTACCTCAAATACTGGATGTACAGCTCTTTTTTTTTTTTTTGTAGCGCCAATTTATATGCGAGGCAACTAGACCCGCGGGTGTGAGAAATAGATTCTTTGCTTGCAGCACCGATCTGAATATATTTTGTTGGTCAGCCAACTCAAAGTGGTGCCGCACTGCACCGCACTGCACAGGCAACTCTGCAGCAGGAACTAGTCAGCAAGTCTATGGCATATGGGAGCTTAGTTAATCAGCATGTTAAGGGACCTGCTTACACAGCAACCAGGTTGCGGAGGGTTGCCACTGCTGGAAGGATCTCCCCCTCGAAGTTGGTGTTTCCAACCGAAGGTGAGCGAACTTCTTACAAAAAAGCTTAGTTAGTCAGCAGCAATGTGGGTTACAGGAGACCTGCTTACACAGCAACCAGGTTGCGGAGGGTTGCCACTGCTGGAAGGATCTCCTTCTCGAAGTTGGTGTTTCCAACCGAAGGTGAACGAACTTCTTACAAAAAGCTTAGTTAGTCAGCAGCAATGTGGGTTACAGGAGACCTGCTTACACAGCAACCAGGTTGCGTAGGGTTGCCACTGCTGGAAGGATCTCCCCCTCGAAATTGTTTGCACCTAGATTCCTGCGCCAAAAGGTGCACCGGAATGAGTCAACGGCGGTCAATGCAGGTCAGCAGAGGTCAACGCAGGGCAGCGGAGGTTAACACACGTCCACACATTTGGAGCATACAATAGCAACTGTAGCTTCTAGCTGTAGTTTCTATAACCTCTTGTTGCAGACGTGTTATTTGAGCATACAGAGCTTGGAGCTTCGAGAGGCGAGAGATGGACGAGGGAACCGATCCCACAAACTTGTTGTAAAAGAGCGACCTGCAAAGCATGTGCCACGTCACGTCAGGCGCAACAAGCCAGTCACAAGCAAACCATGCCAGCGGCATGTTTTTGAGTCAACTCAAAACACGGCTCATTTCAACCGATCCTACAAACTTGTTGTAAAAGAGCGACCTGCAAAACCCGTGCCATGTCAAGTCAGGCGCACCAAGAAAGCCACAAGCAAAACATGCCAATGGCACTTCAGACATACATCCGGGCCATATTTAACCTGATGAAACTGTGGTCCTATGGGTTGGTGCCCCCTCAGGTTTGATAAAAAGATTCTTAGCATAGGTGTGACACTTACAGGAACGAGAGCTGAGTTAGCCTTGAAACAAAAGTGGGGAAGCTTCCAGAAAAGGAGTTGTTTCCAAGGTCGCTGATTGAGGGAGCAAGAGTGGTTTGGGTGCATGCATGGTGGCAAGAAGAGGATCTGAGTTAATTCTGACAAGGCAGTGGGAAGCTTCCAGAAAAGGAGTTGTTCCCAAGGTCGCTGATTGGCTAAGCAAGGGTGGAAGGGAGGAAGCGTGGTTTTGGTACACCATGGTGGCAAGATGAGGTTTTAAGATCAAGGCAAGAGAGGAAGGAGCAAGAAAGAAAGGGACGTTTTGGAGCATGGTGGAGAGAGGAGGATATGAGAGGGTGAGGGAGTCAATCAGAGACTGAATGAGTGAGAGAACTGGGAATGAGATGGGGGAGGAGTGAGTGTGACGAACAGAATCTGCAGATCAGTGAGCGCACTCAGAGATGCGGGTAGTGTTCCGTTGAAAAAGTTGTTGAGTAGATCGCTGCAGAAAACAGAATAGTTGTTGTTGACGGGCGGGCGAAACAGAGATTGTTGACGGGTATTTGGAGCAGGCATCAAAGGTGAGCGAAGAGACTAAGAGTTAATAAAAAAGAGTTGACGCAGAAGTTGACTCTCGTTTCGAATACGATAAAAGGCGACTGAAAAGATACTTGGGAACGTGTACAGGTTATTCATCAGTCTAAAAAGTCAGCAGTTTTGTGGGAGAGGAGAACTGCACAGGCCACTGGTCATAAAAGTGCAGCAGAAATGCGTACAGGACTGCTTTTGAGTCGACTCAAATGCGTACAGGACTGCTTTCGAGTCGACTCAAAAGTAGAAACTCAGCAGTCTGCTTTTGAGTCGACTCAAATGCGTACAGGACTGCTTTCGAGTCGACTCAAAAGTAGAAACTCAGCAGTCTGCTTTTGAGTCGACTCAAATGCGTACAGGACTGCTTTCGAGTCGACTCAAAAGTAGAAACTCAGCAGTCTGCTTTTGAGTCGACTCAAAGGCGTACAGGACTGCTTTTGAGTCGACTCAAAAGTAGAAACTCAGCAGTCTGCTTTTGAGTCGACTCAAAGGCGTACAGGACTGCTTTTGAGTCGACTCAAAAGTAGAAACTCAGCAGTTTTGTGCGAGAGGAGAACTGCACAGGCCACTGAGCCATGTCCGGATCTCGCGTGGAACTGCACAGGCCACTGGTCATAAAAGTGCAGCAGAAATGCGTACAGGATTTGAAGACGGGATAAGGAGCCGATGGTGGAAGGCAAGAGACCCTTTATGGCGTTTCCTGAGAGATCGCTGCAGGCACGAGTGATGGGGGGAGATGGGGAGAGGGAGAGATGGGGAGAGGGGGAGATGGGGAGAGGGGATAGGTTGAGGAAGGGATGAGTTTGAAGTTCTTCTGGGGTTAGGTGAGAGATCGCTGCGGGCACGAGTGATGGGGGGAGGAGATGGGGAGAGAGAGCGATGGGAAGAGGAGAGACGCGGAGAGGGAGAGATGGGGAGAGGGAGAGATGGGGAGAGGGAGAGATGGGGAGAGGGAGCGATGGGAAGAGGAGAGACGCGGAGAGGGAGAGATGGGGAGAGGGAGAGATGGGGAGAGGGGATAGGGTTAGGAAGGGATGAGTTTGAAGTTCTTCTGAGGTGCTTCAAGAGCCGATGGTGGAAGGCAAGAGACCCCCTAAGATGTTGGATGGGAGATCGCTGTGTGTGGGAGAGGGGGAGAGATGGGGAGAGGCGAAGTTGGGGAGAGGCGGAGGTGGGGAGAGGCGGAGTTGGTAAGAGGCGGAGATGGGAGAGGGAGCGATGGGGAGAGGAGGAGGTGGGGAGCTGAGGAGATTGGGAGAGGGGGTGATGGGGAGAGGGGGTGATGGGGAGAGGCGGGGAGGCGGGGAGGGGGGTGATGGGGAGAGAGGGAGACAAGCTCGAAAGCTCTTGAGAGGGAGGGAGGGAGGGAGGGAGGGAGGGAGGGAGGGAGGGAGGGAGGGAGAGAGGGAGGGAGGGAGGGAGGGAGGGAGGGAGGGAGGGAGGGAGGGAGGGAGGGAGGGAGGGAGGGAGGGAGGGAGGGAGGAGGGAGGGAGGGAGGGAGGGAGGGAGGGAGGGAGGGAGGGAGGGAGGGATGAGCTTTGAATCGCCTCAACAATTCAGTGGCAGGGCAGGTAGGAATACGTACAGAACTTTGAAGGCTGGAAGAGGTGCTGATGGTGGAAGGCAAGGCAAGGCATCTAGCTGTGAGACAATTCGGAACAATTTAGTTCCGAATTGTGCTGTACTGATGAAGGTGTGATTGGGTTTGCCCATCCGCCGAAACTAGGAGGGGTGACCCTTGGAATGAAGGCTGGAAGAGGTGCTGATGGTGGAAGGCAAGGCATCTAGCTGTGAGACATTTGAGATCTCAACAGTTGAGTGGTAGTGCAGAAACACGTACAGAACTTAAAAGGTGTCAAATCGTAACAGTCTAGTAGGCAGTGCAGGAACGCGTACAAGATTTGAAGGCTGGATAACGAGCCAATGGTGGAAGGCAAGGTATGTATGTAGCTGTCAGACATTTTAAAACTAAACAGTTGAGTGGTGGTGAAGGAACGCGTACAGGACTTGGTCTCAAACGTCAGTAGGCAGTGAAGGAACGCGTACAAGATTTGAAGGCTGGATAAAGAGCCAATGGTGGAAGGCAAGGTATCCTGTAGGCTGTTGTATGAGAGGTCGCTGCGAGCAGGAGAGATGGGAAGAGAAGAGATGGACAGGGGGAGATGAGTTTTGAGTTGATTGAGAGCCGATGGTGGAAGGCAAGGTATCCTGTAGGCCGTTGTATGAGAGGTCGCTGCGAGCAGGAGAGAAGGGAGGGGAGATGGGGAGAGGAAGAGATAGGGAGAGGGAGGATGAGTTTGATGTCTGTTGAGGTGCCTCTAAAGCCAATGGTGGACGGCGAGGTATCCTGTAGGCTGTTGTATGAGAGGTCGCTGCGAGCAGGAGATGGGGAGGGGGAGGGACAGAGATCGGGAGAAGGAGGGAGAGATGAGATATAAATTCCTCCGAGATGCCTCAGAGGCTGATGGTGGAAGGTAAGGTATCCTGTAGGCCGTTGTATGAGAGGTCGCTGCGAGCAGGAGAAATGGGAAGAGAAGAGATGGAGAGGGAGAGATGAGTTTTGAGTTAATTGAGAGCCGATGGTGGAAGGTAAGGAATCCTGTAGGCTGTTGTATGAGAGGTCGCTGCGAGCAGGAGAGATGGGAAGAGAAGAGATGGAAAGGGGGAGATGAGTTTTGAGTTAATTGAGAGCCGATGGTGGAAGGCAAGGTATCCTGTAGGCCGTTGTATGAGAGGTCGCTTCGAGCAGGAGATGGGAAGAAGGGAAAGAGAGGGTTTGGTTTGGGAGAAGGAGGGAGGGAGAGAGTTGGGGAAAAAGACCCTAAACCCCCCTTCTCTCACAATTTCTGCAGCAGGCGAAGCCGCCCAATGCTCACAGGGATCAAAGCTTGTTCCAGATCTTTACGTTCCTCCCACATTCCCCCATGTCCTATGCTCGCAGAGAAGGGCCCTTGACCGAAGATTCTTCCAGATCTTTGCGTTCCTCCCACATTCCCCCTCCACCCCGTAACCAGCTCACTGGTATCCCTTCCTCTCCTCCCTCCCCCGCTTCCCCCCCCCCCGCTCCCCCTTCTCTCACAGTTTCTGCAGCAGGCGCAGCTGCCCAATGCTCGCAGGGATGGGGCCATACAAGGAGTTGTAGCTCAGATCGCTGGTGGTGGGGCGGGGGGTGTGAATGGGGGAGGGCGGTGGGGAGTGAGTGGCACAAGGAGGGGACAAGGAGGGAACTGCCCAATGCTGGCAGGGATGGGGCCCGACAACAAGTTGTAGCTCAGATCGCTGGTGGTGGGGCGGGGAGGAAGGGGGGGGGGGGGGGGGGAGGGAGGGATAGTTGGGTGGGAGAGATAGAGCGGCAGGGGAGGGTGCCCTATGCTCGCAGGGGGACAGTGGTAGGGGGGGGGACAGAAGCAGGGGGACAGAGGCAGGGGGACAGAGGCAGGGGGACAGAGGCAGGGGGACAGAGGCAGGGGGACAGAGGCAGGGGAACAGTGGCAGGGGTACAGTGGTAGGGGTACAGTGGTAGGGGCACAGTGGGAGGGGTGCAGTGGGAGGGGTACAGTGGGAGGGGTGCAGTGGGAGGGGTACAGTGGGAGGGGTGCAGTGGCAGGGGTGCAGTGGCAGGGGTGCAGTGGCAGGGGTGCAGTGGCAGGGGTGCAGTGGGAGGGGTGCAGTGGCAGGGGTGCAGTGGGAGGGGTGCAGTGGCAGGGGTGCAGTAGCAGGGGTACAGTGGCAGGGGTGGTTCTTGAGAATTATCAAAAACCAGCTCGCACAGTGGCAGGGGTGCAGTGGCAGGAAATAAGTGGCAGGGGGACAGAGGCAGGGGGACAGAGGCAGGGGGACAGAGGAATGGCAGGGGCAGGGCCTGGCAAGGAGCCATAGCTCAGACTACCAGTGCCTTTTGAGGCGCCTCAAGAGCTGTAGCTCAGACTAACAGTGCCAGTGGCAAGAGCGGCGATCAGCTTTCTGGTCCCGCATACCTTTCACGTGACCTGCCTACCGTTCCTCCCTGCTCCTCCCGTGTCTCACAGTGTCTGCAGCAGGGGAAGCTGGCCAATGCTGTCAGGGATGGGGCCTGATAGCGAGTTGTAACCCAGATTGCTGGTGGTAACCAGCTCACTGGTATCCCTTCCCTGCTCCCCCCGTGTCTCACAGTGTCTGCAGCAGGGGAAGCTGGCCAATGCTGGCAGGGATGGGGCCTGACAGCGAGTTGTAGCCCAGATTGCTGGTGGTGGGGCGGCAGGAAAGGGGGGTGGTGGGATTGGGGGAAGAGCGAGTAGAAAGGTGAGGGAAAAGGGGAAGCTGCCCTATGCTGGCAGGGATGGGGCCTGATAGCGAGTTGTAGCCCAGATAGCTGGTGGTGGGTAGGTCCGGGGTGGGGAGGAGAGCGGGAGGAAGGGACGGGAGTGAGTGGCAAAAGGGGGCATGGGGGGAGTCACCCTTTTCTGGCAGGGATGGGGCCTGATAGCGAGTTGTAGGCCAGATTGCTGGTGGTCAGGCGGGGTTGAGAAAGAGTGGGGATGGGGAGAGAGGGGGGAGGGGGGGAAGGGAAAGGGGGGCGGAAGAAAGGGGGGGGAAGGGGGTGGGGAAGGAGAGTGAGTGGCAAAAGAAGGGGGGAGAGGGGGAACCACCCAATGCTGGCAGGGATGGCGAGGGTGTGGGATGGTTGGAAGAGGGGAGGTGAGTGAGGGAGTGGCAAGCGGATGGGGGAGGAGAGTGAGTGGCACGGGGGTCCGGCAGGGGATTGGGGCGAGGGAAAAGAACGAAGAATTTGAAAGAGGGGTACATGGGAACATTCGAGGGGATAGTGAAGAACCGAACGACCTACCAACGCATGATCTCATCTTACAGTGAAACCAGTGTACTGAGGTTGCCTATAGTGGAGCAGATGCTTCCTCCCAGAGAAGAACCGGAGAAGTCACTGCATGTGCAGGCAGCAGGCAATTGCAAGTACGGGATGGATTATGGAAACGTCAAGGAGAGGGCCAAATCGTTCAACGTTAGGAAGGTTGTTTGGGGCGAGCAATGCAATTGGCCAAAATTCTGGGTGCTAGGGCCAAACTCGACCGAAGTTAGGAAGGTTGAACCAATTTGGGCTTCCTTGGCCTGGAAGGGAGTGAGAATGTCAATTGCGTGTGCATTTCCGTTTAGCACCATCTCAAATGCACCATGATTGCGCGTTTCCGTTCAGCACCATCCCAAGACGACCAGGTTCACTCTGTAACGCGTATAGAGTGGTGACTCGTCGCTGTACAACTTACATGGACTTGAGTGTTCCGTCGGCGTTACACTCGAGGCCGAAGTCCGGCGTGCACGGATCGCTCGGAGTCCAGTCGTAACTCGTCGCACCCATCTCCACCACACAGTCCGCCAATACCTTGCCTGGACACCCAGGGATGATGGCGGGGATGACAAGGCGAACCGGAAAAAAAAAAAGGCAACGCAGCATAGGGAGAGCATCAATTCTGTGGATTTTTTCTGGTTCTATGCATAATTGCTAAAAAGATTGGTGTTGCGCATCGCTTTTGAAATCACGCACAGTGCGGTTCCCTCAAAATGCTCTCAACGTACTTTTGAGAATGGTTTCACAAGCCCTTTCTGAGTAAATGAAACGAAGTCACGCTCGAAACGGATAAAGGCACGCGCGATACAAGCACAGACCTTGCTCTTGCTCCACGACCACGGCCACGGAAACGGGTGAATAACTTAAAACCGTCGAGCAGACAAGAAGCGGCAGGAGCAGCGAGACACGCGCTAATGAAGTTTGGGACTGCCGTCCTCTGCGCTGAAATACGCGATACTCGCAGATACCGCGACGGTCTTGACTTTCTAGTTCCCGAGTTACTGCTTTCTGGCGGTCACGGCGACAAGCGGTGGATGTCTGACGCAAATGCTGCTGCTGCTGCCTCGGTCTAGATGCGCTGCTAGCATCTCCATAACTAAAGTTTAACACGTTCTGCGAGCGCGTTCTGCATTGCGAAGCGTCGTCCATGACGCCTACTGGCACGCGTACTCGAGCTTTCAGGAGGCAATAAGTAGCAGCATCACTATGTCAGTAATAAGCATCCACGGCTTTCGCACAAGTAGAACCTTGCTTCGCGACGGTCTAAAGAGAGGTTGTTCTCGTACCAAGACCTTTCATTATCCTGAGCAGTAGCAATTATGACTCACTGCTGCGCAACGCTTCACCACGGAGTGCTTTCACGGTACAATTTTAGAAACAAAAGTTGCAATGTGGTGCTTTAGACCTCCAGAACGGTACAGAAGCGTTTTCCTTTTTGTCGGTGACGCTTTGGAGGCATGATTGGGTTGAAAAAGAAGCTTTGAACACAGGTTGGGCAAGAGCCAGACGTGCACTAGCCTATTTTGGCTGAGGTTCTGGTCTGGTACGGCAGAAGTTCAGCTTTGGACAATCAGAAGTAGTGCAAGCCTGTGTTTACGAAGAGTCGCGGGTACTTGTAACTCTCTCGTAAACGAATCGTGAGGTGCCTTTGTTCGTGAAGATCCCTGACAGGTTCGGAATGACGAACCAGGGAAGCTTGCCTGCAGCACGTCAGCGGCCTGAGAGCCGAACGAAGAGTCACTCCCGAAGGCGAAGTGTTTCAGGCTGGGGACAAACTTGCATCAGTCATCCCCTTGCGCGATGAACCCTGATCTCAACTGAAATCCCCACTAGCCACGTGCTTGACGATAAATGCTGCTGGTAACCTTTAGTGGCGACTGAGCTGACGATAAATGTTGCCGTTGCCATAGGTAATGCAGAATAGCAACAGCAGCAACAAACGTGACGCAACGGAAACCAAACCTTCCAGTCTACAGTTTTCAAGGGTGTGACAGTCAGAGGAGTGAGGAGGACCAAACCTGTTGCTTCTGTGCCTGGCCGTCGTGCTCTCATCTTCCTCGTCACTCATATCAGTGTCCTCCAGCCTTCCGTTTGGAACGGAACGCTTCGTTGTAACCCTAGAATTCTAATTAGCGAGTTCACCACGCCAGACAAATAATTCGGTTTTTGCGCACACATTTGTTGCGGTTCGTTGTCCAAGAAGCAACTCAAACGCTGTCGTTTCTCATCCGACGTCCGAAGCGCCAATGCTGTAATTTGCCGCTTTTTGCTGCTCGCAGTTCCGTTCTCGCACGTGCATGTACAGTTGAGTTGTCGCTGACCACCGTCGAGCCGCTTCTGTGACGAACCTCGGAACAGAGACAGCCTTCAAGGCCGACATTTTAACAGTATCAAACAACGTAATAACCGCCTTGGTGTGTCCAGCATTGACGTCTCGAATACACTAAATTTATATTTTTGTCCTCGATATTAGTAGCTTTTCTATCGCTGTCGACGAGAGTTATCGTCCCCTGAAGCGCGACGGCCTGTCGCACGCGCTGGCGACGTGAAGTACGACGGGACGGTCCCTGACAAAACAGGTTACAGGCCGTTTCTTCCACGGCTTATCCTAAAAAATTAGCCAGCACGTAGCTTCCCTGCTCTTGCAAACAACGGCTGCTCATCTTGCGAGTAAATGGCGGACCGTCATGATCGCCGTTGCTTCTCCTTCGAGTCGCCACTAGTGCTACTACTACCCAATCATCGCCGCGGGTCTATTTATGTCCGGTTTACTCCTCGTCTGCCTCTCGCTCTCGTCATCTGCGCGTGGCTGCTGCTTACCAGTAGCCTGTTTGTCGGACAGGCCTCTGGAAACCAAAACATTCCAAAGAAAGCGCAAGGTTCTGAAAACGGAAACACTGTTTCAAGGAAAGCGCGGTACCTACAAACGTTGAACATATCTCTGGGGAACGTACCCGTTGCACCTCCTGGGAACGCGCCCTCGGGTAACGGGTCCCCTGGCTACGGGTACTTTGGGAACGCGCCTTCCGCAAATAGTCCTTCAGGGAGCATTCCTCCGCTAGAAACCGTGTCTCCGCCAATGCAGCTGCCGGCGCAGGGACCCGCCGCCGGAGCGGGAGGGGGAAGCGGAGGGGGAGGAGGCGGGGATGGGGGAGGTATACCGCCTCCGCCTGGCGGAGGACCGCCAGTGGATGGGGGAGCGTCCGGAGGAGGGGATTCAGGCGGAGGACAGGGGGGAGGGGGTGCACCGGTGAATGTGACAGCTGAACAAGGTGAGGAGGTTTGAGGGATTGGAAGGTGAGGAAATTTGTGGGTGTTTGGGGAAACCGAGGAGGTTTGAGGGCATGTGGATGTGGTGTTTCAAGGGACCTTGGGAAGTGTGTGACTACTTCGCTTAACTCATAGTGATTATTCAACCAACCATCCTACAAGCCTCCCACCCACCCATCCACACTTCCGAAGGCATGTGGCAGAGTGATGGGTGTGCCAGGTGGCATGCGGTGTTTCAAGGGGCCTTACGGAGTGCGTGATTACAAATCGCGGTTACCCACCCACCCACGTGGCACCCATTCTTGGCAGGCGCGATCCTGAAGACATGTGGCAGAGAGATGGGCGTGCCAGATGGCATGTGGTACCCTGGCGCACCGTGCAACGCTGACTCGACATGGCTTGCGTGATTATCCCACCCACGTGCCACCCACCCACCCACCCTTTTGCAGGCGCGATTCTGAAGACATGTGGCAGAGAGATGGGCGTGCCGGATGGCATGTGGTATCCCGGCGCACCGTGTGGCGTTGACTCGACGTGGCTCACATGCGACCCTGATGGCACCGTCAACGCCATGTGAGTGAGGCATGGCATGGCATAACGCCGTGATGGCATGTGGTAGGATATGGTGGCTGCCATGCAGCATTGACTGTGGCTCATGTGTGACCCTGATGGCACCATCGTCAACGGAATGTGAGTGAGGCATGGCATGGCATAGCATGGTACGGCACGGCATGGCATGGCATGGCATGGCGTGGCATGGCATGGCATGGCATGGCATGGCATGGCATGGCATGGCATGGTACGGCATGGTACGGCACGGCATGGTACGGCATGGCATGGTGCATGGCATGATACGGCATGGCAATGACATCCATCACATAGCGTGGAAGTGCGGGGTATGCATGTATGCGCAGCTGTTGCTGCCTTCGTCCCATCCATTTTCACCTATCCCCCCCCAGTCCGCCCTTATTCTCTCTCCTCCCTGCCTTCCCCTTTTGTGTCATCCGCGATTAGGCAGGATCCGTGTGCTCCAGATTCCAATATATGGCTCCCCCTCTCCCCTCCCTGCCTCCCACATGTTGTCCCCTTTAGTGTCATCCGCGATAAGGGCATCTCTGGATCCATCTGCTCCAATATAGGGCTACTCACTACCCTGGTGAAGATGTACGTTTGACGTTTGACTGAGTTAAGGAGGTATCATCGGGAGTCGGGACTAAGGCGAGGGGGTATCCGGATGTATGTTTGACGTATGGCCGAGGGTAGGTGTCAGTTTTTGGATGTGAATGTGGGTGGACGTGAACAATTAAAGCATTCTTGGTAGGTAGGTAAAACATTTCGTGAAAGAAGCCTAAGATTATTCAGTGGCCTTGATCCTTGTTACAAACACATTCCCCTCCCCCTTTCCCGTTCCATCCTCGTTAGTGACATGGCCAACAACTCGCTATCAGGCTCGTTTCCCACCAGCATTGGCAACCTTGCAAGACTGGCCGTCTTGTGAGTAGCACTGCTGAGTAGTTAATTCTGCAGCACATGCTTCTTGCATTCCCTTTCCATTCCTCCACCAGTCCTCTCCTCTCCTCTCCTCTCTGTCGGATTTTTTGTCGACTCGAAATGCTATCGTTCGGTTCTTGAGAGGTCTCAAAAGGACCTCCTGTGGCAGCGTGCTGAGCAGGTCGGCAGAGTGGCACGTCGTCAGCTTTTCTCTTTGACATGCATACATTACCACCTCCCACATTGCCCCTCCCTCGCCCCCTCCGTCAGTTTCCAGGCATCTCAATTTTTTCTCTTTGACATGCATACATCACCACCTCCCACATTGCCCCCTCGCTCGCGCCTTCACAGCTGCCTCATTCTCTCCTCTTTTCCTTTTCTTGCCCCCCTCTGATTTGCAGTAATGTCCAGCAGAACCGTCTCAGTGGGTACATTCCCCCCTCGTTCTCTCGCCTTGCCAGCCTCCTGTGACCTTCCCTGTGCCTCGCCAGATATATCAAGCTTTTCCTCTTGTCCGCCTCCCTTTTTGCCCCCCTCTGACTTGCAGTAATGTCCAGCAGAACCGTCTCAGTGGTCACTTCCCCCCACGCTCTTTCAAACCTTTGCTTCACAGCTGCCTCATTCTCTCCTCTTTTTCATTTTTCTGCCCCCCTCTCACTTGCAGTAACGTCCAGCAGAACCGTCTCAGTGGGTACATTCCCCCCACGTTCTCTCGCCTTGCCAGCCTGCAGATGTTGTGAGTGCGGTGCAGATGTTGTGAGTGCGGTGCAGATGTTGTGAGTGCGGTGCAGATGTTGTGAGTGGGGTGCAGATGTTGTGAGTGCGGTGCAGATGTTGTGAGTGGGGTGCAGATGTTCTGAGTGGGGTGCAGATGTTGTAAGTGTGGTGCAGATGTCGTGAGTGCGGTGCAGACGTTCTGCGTTGGGTGCAGATGTTGTGAGTGGGGTGCAGATGTTGTGAATGGGGTGCAGATGTTGTGAATGGGGTGCAGATGTTGTGAGTGGCCTCATTCCATCCTCTCATCCCTTCATCTCTTCATTCCTCCATCCCTCCATCCCTCCTCTTCCCTCCTTTCTCCCTCGCTTCCTCTCTTCCTCATCCATTCTCCTCCCTTCCTCCTTTCCGTCATCAATCGGACCCTCCTCTCCCTCCTCCTCCCTGCTCTCTCTATAACCATGTAAGCGCGTGACTTTTGAGTCGACTCAAAAGTCACCTCCTCCCTGCTCTCTCTATGACCATGTAAGCGCGTCAGTTATTTGCAACTTTTGAGACGTCTCAAAACTCCTCCCTTCCTCCTTTCCACCACTAATCAGACCCTCCTCTCCCTCCTCCTCCCTGCTCTCTCTATGACCATGTAAGCACGTCAGTTACTCGTACGCTCATGGCCTCCCAATGTCTCTGGCAGCGTGCACCACGTGTAATAAGCTGGCGCCCTGGTGTGCCCTGGTGTCACGTCTTCTCTCTTTCCTTTCAAGGTATCACACGCGATACGCTGGTAGGTACCCCGGTGTGCCCTGGTATCACGTCCTCTTTCTTTCTTTTGAGGCGCCTCTGAAGTGCCCTTCCAGTGCGCTGGTGTGCCGTGTAACCATCCATCCGAGGTGACTTTTGAGTCGAGTCATCAATGTGTGACGGGAGATTTTCTTCGCCTTTTTGAGGCGCCTCAGAAGTGCCCTTCCAGGTTCCAATGATCTAATGACGTCAACACCAACCAACCGCTGTCTTGGCGCCCCCCCTCTTATCATCACCCGCTTGCCCTCTTCCTTCCATCTCCCTTTTTCAGGCGCCTCAATCAAAAGTGCCCTTCCGGATTCCAATGCTCTAATGACGTCAACACCAACCAACTGCTGTCTTGCCCCCCCCCACCCCCCCTCTTATCATTACCCGCTTGCCTCTGTCTTTCAGTGATGGTAACACCAGCATCTCTGGTCCCTCTTATTCTCACCCGCCTGCCCCTGTCCGCTATCCCTCTTTCCCCACCATGTGTTGCAGTGATCTGAACAACAACAACTTGCCTGGGCCCCTCTTGTCATTACACACGCTCGCACCTTCCCCCAATCTCCCTTCCCCCAATCCCCCTTTCCCCCACCCCAATCCCCCTTCCCCCACCCTCTTTCCCCACCATGTGTTGCAGCGATCTGAACACCAACAACTTGCCTGAGCCCCTCTTGTACCCCACTTGCCCTCTCCCCCTACCCCTCCCTCAACCTCCCCCCCACCCACCCTCTTCCCCCACCATGTGTTGCAGTGATGTTAACACCAACAACTTGTCGGGGCCCCTCTATTACCCCGTGGGAACTCTCGCAAACATCAAGCTTATGTAAGTCATCAAGCTTATGTCAGTTACCTAGCTTATGTAAGTTACCAAGCTTATGTAAGTGATCCCTTCTTGCTGTTTCACGCCTTCCTTCTAGACATAGAGTTTTGCAGCTTATTCTTGATATATCTCTAAAGCAGTCCCGCGGCCCGTCTAAAGTTGCAGTTGTCGCTTTCCAAGATATTACCTATGAGGCGCGTAAAACAAAATCTTCCCTTACTACTTCTCTCCTGTTGCAGCAACGTTGCCCGCAACAACTTCAGCGGATCGCTTCCCACCTCCATCTACACTCTCACCAGCCTCCAAGAAATGTACGTTTCACCCACCTGCTTCACTCGCACCTGCTTCACTCACACCTGCTTCACTCACACCTGCTTCACTCTCTCTCACCTGTTGAGTTGACGCAGAGGTTCTTTCCCTTCCCACCTCCATCTACACCCTCACCAGCCCCCAAGAAATGTACGTCTCACTCTCTCCCTCCCTGTTGTTGAAATCACTTTTGCGATTTCTCAGAAGTGACTCTCGCTCTTTCCTTCCCTCAAAAACAAAACGACTTCTTCTCTCCCCTCACTACCCTCTCTCCCCTCACCCCTCTCTCCCCTCCCTCCCCTCCCTCCCTCTCTGCTCTCACACCCTCTCTCCCCTCACTCTCTCTATTTTCCCGTGACACACTCTCCTGGGGCCATTCTCTCATAGCTTCCTTTTCTGCCTCTCTCTGCCAGCGCCCCCTCAAGTTTTCAAGAAGCAACTTAAACAAGCATCACTCGATTTATGAGTCGACTCAAAACTCTACCCATGCCTCTTAAAGAGGCATCTCAAACAAACATCATTCTCCGCTCCCTCGTCTTCTTCCCACCAACCCTTTGCATGCAGGGACGTCTCAGAGAATTCTCTCGGGGGCTCCCTGCCTCTCTCTGCCAACGCCCTCAGCTTAGCTCTTTGGAGACCTCCAGTCCGCCCTTGCCTGAGCTCCAATGACTTTGAACCCCAGCATTGTCTCCGTACCCTCAATGGTTTCTCACCCCATCCTCTCTCCATGCACACACACAGGGACGTCTCGGAGAATTCTCTCGGGGGCTCCCTGCCTCTCTCTGCCAGCGCCCTTAACGGTTTGCAAATGCTGTACGTGCGTTGGGGTAGCTTGCCCCTGTTCAACCGTGTGCAATCGCATGCAACCATGTGCAACCGCATGCAACCAGGTGCAACCACGTGCAGGCAATCACATGCTCCCTGCCTCTCTCTGCCAGCGCCCTTAGCGGTTTGCAAATGCTGTACGTGGGAGTAGGTAGGCTGCCTTGCTATCGTGAGGGCTTTGTTGTCGTGGGGGTTTTATCGACTCGAAACTCCCCGGAAAAGCTCTTTGTTGGGTTAGGGTTACCTGGTTTCTTAAGTCGTGAGACGTCTCACAACGTCCCAAAGATCCTGTAGAGTGGGTTGGGCTGACTTTCCTCTGTGCAACCACGTGTAACTGTGTGCAGCCACGTACAATCTTGTATAGGCATCCCGTCCGCACAGCAACAGCTCGACCCCACCCCAACCCACTCCGCCCCATCTGATCCCATTCCAACACGTGCCATCCCACCCCATCCCACCCTATCCCACCCCACCCGATTCTACCCCATCCCATCCCACTGCATCCCGTCCCACCTCGCCCCACCACATCCCATCCCTGCAGCAACATGGTCAACAACCGCTTCTCTGGCCAGTTACCATCCTCTCTCGGCAATCTCACGAGGCTCACTCGCTTGTAAGCACTCGCATGTAAACACTCGCGTGTAAGTACTCGCTTGTAAGCACTCAACCCAAATGCAGATGATCGGCAGCAGCAGCATTGGTGTCAGCAGCACAGCCAGCAACGGGTCAGTACTACCACACGATAAAAGAGTTGTTTTGAGACGTCTCAAAACAATCAGTGCCACACTCACCAACCGCTTCTCTGGCGAGTTACCATCCTCCCTCGGCAATCGCACGAGCCTCACTTGCATGTAAACACTCACATGCATGTAGAGACGAGCATTGTTGTCAGCAACATTAGAATCACTTTTGAGAAATTTCAGACGTGATTTCATTTCAACATAGGTGTCAATGCTTTTTTGAGATCACTCAGCTCAGAGGTGGGCTCTTTGCCGACTTCCCTTGAAACAGCTCACTGCTCTCACCAGCCTCCAAGAGACGTGCACCCCCCTCCTCTCCCTTCACTCCCTCTCTCCCTCTCTCCCCTCTGTGCGTGCAGGGAGCTGGGGAGGAACTATTTCACGGGCTCTCTGCCAACTTCCCTCGGGAAACTCACTGCTCTCATCAACCTGTGAGCCTCTCAACGCTCTCATCATCCCTCGTGAGGTGCCTCAAAACTCACTGCTCTTAGCAACCTGTGGGTCGTTCGAGTCGACTCAGAGGGGAGCTGGGGAGGAACTATTTCACAGGCGCTCTGCCGACTTCCCTCGGGAAAGGCACTGCTCTCATCAATCTGTGAGTCTGCCCCAACCAACCCTCTCTTCCACCCCTCTTGAGGTGCCTCAAAACTCACTGCTCTCATCAACCTGTGAGTCGTCTGCTTTCCAATAGATACAATCTCGGTTCGTAATTCTTACCCGCTCAATCTTACCTCTAAGTTTCCTTACCTCCTCCCCTCCTCTCCTCCCTTTCCTCTCCTCCCTTTCCTCTCCTCCCTTTCCTCTCCTTTCCTCTCCTCCCTTTCCTCTCCTCCCTTTCCTCTCCTCCCTTTCCTCTCCTCCCTTTCCTCTCCTCCCTTTCCTCTCCTCCCTTTCCTCCTCCCTTTCCTCTCCTCCCTTTCCTCTCCTCCCTTTCCTCTCCTCCCTTTCCTCTCTCCCTTTCCTCTCCTCCCTTTCCTCTCCTCCCTTTCCTTTCCTCCTCCCTTTCCTCTCCTCCCTTTCCTCTCCTCCCTTTCCTCTCCTCCCTTTCCTCTCCTCCCTTTCCTCTCCTCCCTTTCCTCTCCTCCCTTTCCTCTCCTCCCTTTCGTCTCCTCCCTTTCCTCTCCTCCCTTTCCTCTCCTCCCTTTCCTCTCCTCCCTTTCCTCTCCTCCCTTTCCTCTCCTCCCTTTCCTCTCCTCCCTTTCCTCTCCTCCCTTTCCTCTCCTCCCTTTCCTCTCCTCCCTTTCCTCTCCTCCCTTTCCTCTCCTCCCTTTCCTCTCCTCCCTTTCCTCTCCTCCCTTTCCTCTCCTCCCTTTCCTCTCCTCCCTTTCCTCTCCTCCCTTTCCTCTCCTCCCTTTCTCCCTACCCTCTCAGCCGGGAACACTCAGTACTCTCTCCCTCCCCCTCTCCTCCCCTCCTCCCTTCCCTTTCCTCCTTTCCTCCCTATCCTCCCCCACCTCCCTTTCCCCATCATCAGAGGGCTACATGGCAGCATGCCTCCTCATTGAATGATTCATACCTCATTGGACTCAATGCCTCCTCTTTTTGAGACGCCTTAGAAATCGTCTCAAGTTTTGATTGAGGTGCCTCAATAATCATCAGAGGGCTACAGGGCAGCATGCCAGAGTGGTTCATATCTCTAATAAAATCCAATGCCTCCTCCTCACTACCCTCCCTTTCCTACCCTCCTTTCTTCTCTTGCCCTAAACCCTCTTCCCTTTCCCTCCTCCTCTCCTCCCACTATCAGCGGGCTACAGGGCAACACGCTAGGAGGCTCCCTGCCCTCGCAGCTGGGAGCACTAATCAGCCTCAACTCGCTGTATGTATCGCCATCGTGTCATGCTTGTGTCATGCTCGTGTCATGCTCATATCATGCTCGTGTCATGCTCGTGTCATGTTGAGTCATAGTCATATTTGTGACTGAGTTCCATCCTCCCCTTTCCCTCTCCGTCCACCTCCCCCCCCCCTCCCCTTTCCCCACTCAATCACACCACTGACGTCCCCAATATTCAATTCTGCTTTCGCGACCCCAATACCCCTTCCCTCCACCCGCCTCTTCCCAAACAATCAGCTCCAGGGCTCTCTTCCCACGGCCCCAATCCCCTTTCCCCCACGGCCCGTAGAAGCTCTCACTTCTGCTTCCACCTTCCCCCCTCTCTTCTTTCCCCAATCTCCAGGGACGTGTCAAACAATCAGCTCCGGGCGCAATTCCCCCCACTCCAATCCCCCTTCCTTCACGTCCCTCAATTCTTCTTCCAGCTTTCCCTCTCCCCTCTCTCCTCCTCCCCCTCTTCCCCAATCACCAGAGACGTGTCAAACAATCAGCTCCGGGGCGCAATTCCCCCCACCATTGGGAACCTCTCTGCTCTCACTGACCTGTAAGCCCACACAACACACACACACACACACACACACACACACACACCACACACACACACACACACACACAACACACACACACACACAACACACACACACACACACACACACCGCACGCACGCGCACGCGCGCGCGCACACACACACACACACTCCTCCTCTGCTTGCCCTTGCCTCCCCTCTCCACTTACGTTTTCCCCTCTATCCCCTCAATCCCCGAATCCCTCCCCTACCAAAGAAAAATAGGTGGAACAGACCTGACGTGCCCCTCAGCAGCAGGGCACCCGCCTCTCACTCTGCGCCCTAGTCTTTCCTCCCTGCCTGATTTGGCCCCTCACTTCCAATGCAGCAAGATAGGCGGAACGGACCTCACGTGCCCATCAGCAGCAGGGCGGCCCCCATGCACTGTGTGGCAGGACCCCTCGTCTGAGTTCTGCCAGATGTGCCCCGCCTTCTGCACCAACTGCTCCACTGCTGCTCTGCCACCCAAGCCAGGTAAACAAGGTGACATAGTTACATGGCAACATGGTAACAAGGTCAGTAAACAGCAGGCCGCCCACTGTGAATTGTGTGGCAGGACCCCTTCCTCTGAGTTCTGCCAGATCTGCCCCGCATTCTGCACCAATTGCTCCACTGCCGCCCTGCCACCTAAGCCAGGTAAGACTCTAACAAGGTGGGGAAGGTAGGTACTTTGTGGTAACCAGCAGGCCAACCCCCATGTGGGATGGCATGTGGCATGACCCCTCCTCCCAATTCTGCCAGACCTGCCCCGCCTTCTGCGCCAACTGCTCCACTGCCACCCTGCCACCCAAGCCAGGTAACACACTGACTGTACGGTAGGATTCTGCATGTGTGTGTAGTGCTGGCGTGTGGCAGGACCCCTCCTCTGAATTCTGCCAGAACTGCCCCGCCTTCTGTGCCAACTTCTCCACTGCTGCTCTGCCGCCCAAGCCAGGTAACGTTGCAACAAGGTCACGATGGTAACGTTACAACGTTGCAAGATTGCTGCCGACTCCTCGTCTTACTACGTTGTTGAATCTTCTAAAAGCAACTTGCCTCCTCCTCCTGCTGCTGCTGCTGCTTCTGCTGCTGCACCATCCTGCATCATCCTCGTTTCAATCTGTCCCTCTTTCTGACACTGCTCTTGTTGTTTTCACCTGAATACAACCCTGCAGCACCTCCCACGAGCCCGACCCCCGCTCCTCCTACTGCTGCTACTACATCATCCTCAGCCACTCCTGGTCAGGGCTTCATCATTGGAATTGCTGTGGGGGTAGCCGCGCTGCTGCTGCTGGGTGCTCTTGGCATCTATCTCTGGTTCCGCTGCTCCTCCCGAGGTGGGTGTGTGTGTGCAAGAACCTGTGAGTGTGATGGTACTAGCACCACTCCTCCTCCTGCTGCTCCAGCACCATCCTCAACCACTCCTGGTCAGGCCTTCATTGTTGGCATCGCAGTGGGAGTAGCCGTGCTGCTGCTGCTGGGAGCGCTTGGCCTCTACCTCTGGTTCTGCTGCTCCTCCCGAGGTGTGTGTGTGTAACGCTGGTACCCACCTCGGTACCCATTGGTGTGTGTGTGTGTGTGTGTGTGTTTGTGTGTAAGAGCCTGTAAGTGTGTATGATACCAGCACCACATCTCCTGCTCCTCCTGCTCCAGCACCATCCTCAGCCACTCCTGGTCAGGGCTTCATCATCGGAATCGCAGTGGGAGTAGCCGTGCTGCTGCTGCTGGGAGCGCTTGGCATCTACCTCTGGTTCCGCTGCTCCTCCAAAGGTGGGTGTGTGACGCATGCCCGCTGGTACCATGTAGTACCCCCCCCCCCCCGCTACCTCTCAATGCTTTGCTGCTTCTGCTGCTGCTGGGTACGCTTGGCCTCTACCTCTGGTTCCGCTGCTCCTCCAGAGGTGGGTGTGTGTACGAAGGGGAGATCGGGAGGGGTGTGCTACCAGCACCACCCTCGACCACTCCTCGTCAGGGCTACATTGTCGCTCCTCCAGAGGTGGGTGTGTCTGTGTGATACCCACTAGTACCATGCGGTATCCGTATCCCTCAGTACCTCTCAATGCTCTGCTGCTGCTGCTGGGTGCGCTTGGCCTCTACCTCTGGTTCCGCTGCTCCTCCAGAGGTGTGTGCGTGACGCTGGTACCCACCAGTACCCACTGGTACCTTGTGATACCCCCCGGTATCTCTCAGTGCGGCGCTGCTGCTGCTGGGTGCGCTTGGCCTCTACCTTTGGTTCCACTGCTCTCCCAGAGGTAAACGTGTGTAAGAGTGTTGTGTGTGAGTGTGTGTGGTAGTACCAGCACCACATCTCCTCCTCCTGCTGCGGCAGCACCACCCTCATCCACTCCTGGTCAGGGCTCCATTATCAGAATTGCTGTGGGGGTAGCCGCGCTGCTGCTGCTGGGTGCGCTTGGCCTCTACCTCTGGTTCCGCTGCTCCTCCAAAGGTGTGGGTGTGTGTACGAAGGGGGGAATTGGGAGGGGTGTGCTACCAGCACCACCCCTCCAGCACCGCCCCTCCTGCACCATCCTCGTCCACTCCTGGTCAGGACTTCATAGTTGGCATTGCTGTGGGGGTTTCGCGCTGCTGCTGCTGGAAGCTCTTGGTGTCTATCCCCAGCCAGGTGCTCATGTGTTGGCGTTACTCTCTTGACCTCTTCTTCTGCTCCCCTGAAGCAAAGACCATCCTTCTTTGTGCCCGCTCTTGTGCCCATGTCCCTGCGCGGGCAAGCCCGAGGCTCCTCCCATCCCCAGCCAGGTGCTCATGTGTCGGCGCTACTCTCTCGACCAAGTCAAGAAGGTGACCGGGGGATGGGCAGAGGCGAATCACATTGGAGCCAAGTCTGTACCCACTCCCACCCCATTGCCTGTGCTTTATGTGCCCTCGCCCCTACCCTTACCCCCTGCAGCCAAGCCTGAACGTCCGCCCATCCCCAGCCAGGTGCTCATGTGTCGGCGCTACTCTCTCGACCAAGTCAAGAAGGTGACCGGGGGATGGGCAGAGGCGAATCACATTGGAGCCAAGTCTGTACCCACTCCCACCCCATTGCCTGTGCTTTATGTGCCCTCGCCCCTACCCTTACCCCCTGCAGCCAAGCCTGAACGTCCGCCCATCCCCAGCCAGGTGCTCATGTGTCGGCGCTACTCTCTCGACCAAGTCAAGAAGGCAGGGGATGGGCCGAGGCGAATCACATTGGAGCCAAGTCTGTACCCACTCCCACCCCATTGCCTGTGCTTCGTGTGCATGCAGCCAAGCCTGAACGTCCGCCCATCCCCAGCCAGGTGCTCATGTGTCGGCGCTACTCTCTCGACCAAGTGAAAAAGGCGACAGGGGGATGGGCGGAGACGAACCATATCGGAACGGGCGGGTACGGGGAGGTGTATCGGGGGGTGTGCCCGTTTGATGACTCGGTGGTGTGGGCTGTGAAGCGCGCCAAGATTCTCACAAATGACTTCAAGAGAGAGGTGAGTTTGTGTGTGGTGTGGTGCAGTGGGGTGCGGTGAGGTGCAGTGGGTTGTGATGTGGTGTGGGGTATGAAGCTGTTGAGTGCGCTGGTGTAGGATGGGATGGGCTTAGCGGGGAGTGTCCCTTTTTGTACCCATTGGTGGTGTGGGCTGTGAAGCGCGCCAAGATGCTCACGAACGAGAGGTGGGGTGGGGTGAGGTGGGGTGGGGTGGGGTGGGGTTGTGTGGGTTGGGATGGGGTGTGGTGTTGTGTGGCGTATGAAGTGGTTGTCTGCGGTGGTTTAGTATGGGATGGAGTATCGGGAGTGGTTCCTTGATGACATGGCATGGCCGGTAACATTGTTCCACCTTTAGTGCTCTTTCGTTCCTCATCGCCTTGGTTCCAACAGAAGATGGAGGAGACGGCATCAAAGAGTCCCCTCGTCAAGGCATCACTTTTCACTTTTCATAGTTCCCCGCCCTTGTCGTTTTTCCTCACTTCCGTTTCCCCCTGAAGGTGGAGGAGATGGCATCAAAGAGCCATCCGCACTTGGTACGGCTTCTGGGGTACTGTGTGGACATGGATACGACAACGGAGCACCACGAGCAGATTGTGATTTATGAGTTCTGCGCAAATGGGGACCTCGAGAAGTATCTACATGGAGGTGGGTGGGCAGGCATGGTAAAAGGTAACATGTGTATATATTATAAATATTGTGCATATAGTGCTTTATTTGTATGTTCTACCAATATTTTTTTTACTTTATTAATTTATATTAGACATATTATATTTATTTTTGTATATATGTACACAACTTGTGTGTAACACAAGTATAGATCTATTCTATACATATGCACATCTACATGTGTATGTATATGTGCGTTAAAAGGTGCATGTGAATATGTATAATGTATCTCTATATATGCATGTACATTTTGTATGCATGTGTGTGTATATATATATGTATATATGTATAAATGTATATATGTATATATGAATATATGTATGCATGTATACATGTATATATGTATATAAGTATATATATATATATTGAAATATCTGTGTGTGTTGATAGGTGTATGAGGTTTTCCTTGAACGTGCTATCATGCCAATGGCAGGTTCCCGAGAGGGAGAGCTGACGCTGCAGCAGCGCATGGACGTGCTGGTGGGGGTGGCGCGGGGGTTGGAGTACCTCCACCAGTTTGACATCGTGCATCGAGACATCAAGCCCGCCAATGTGCTGCTGGACTCGCGCATGCAGGTGAGGAGAGGAGTACAAGTGGTTGAGTGCGGTGAAGAGCGGTTGTGGGGTTCAGGTGGCGCGGGGGTTGGAGTACCTCCACCAGTTTGACATCGTGCATCGAGACATCAAGCCCGCCAACGTGCTGCTCGATGCCCGCATGCAGGTGAGGGGGAGGAAGGAGGGATGTGATGGTTGAGTGCGGTGCAGTGCGGTTGCGGGGGGGGGTGGCAGGGGGGTTGCTTTGGAGTACCTCCCCACCAGGTGATTTCAGAATTAGGGCTGACCTGATGCGCATGACTCGCATTTAAGCTTCCAACAGAGCTGATGTGCTCCTTCATCCTCGCACCATAGCAGAGCTGATGTGCTCTCCTGCTCCTTTGCCCCAACCCCTACCACAGGCGAAAGTCTCAGACTTTGGGTTGGTGCGGATAACAGAAGGCACGACAGTGAATCCCACCCGAGTGGTTGGCACTCCAGGCTATGTGGACCCTGCTTACTCGCGCACCAACAAGGCCACCCCCATGGCTGACGTGCATAGGTGAGTGTTTGAAGCGCTACTCCCGTTGCTGATGTGCACTGGTGAACTGCGGGCTCTTCGTTTCCTCTTCCGTTTTCTCTTTCTCTTTCTCATCCCAATTTTCCATGGCATGGTGCTTCTTGAGTCATGCTTATCAAATGATGTGAAAGTCCATTGCAAGGCCTTAGATACTGTCTTAGAACATGCACAAGGCGCATCGGCTGAAACTCTCCTGTTCGTTTTTCCACGCAAAAGTCTAAAATACATACCTCCAATCCGCCAGTCCATGTTTTCTAGACTTCTCAACGTATCCTCTTTTCTCTGCCTCAGTCAGTCACTCCACCTCCGATACATTGCTGCTGAATGTGCCAACGCTAGGCCATGTTATCCTTAAACTGAATGACATCATTTAAAACCCACCGTGCTTGATTCCTATCTGCAGCTACGGTGTGCTGCTAGTGGAGGTGATAAAACTGAAGCCTATACCTGGATCTGCTGCTGCACCATCCAATGCACCAGTTCATCTAGTTCCATTCCCCCATGCAGTTCTCTTTCCACCGCAGCTTCGGTGTGCTACTATTGGAGGTGATAACGCTGAAGCCAGTCATCCTATCACTAAACTAAATCACAACCTGTCATCATTTTGTTCCCCCATGTGCCCCATTCCTCACTGCAGCTACGGTGTGCTACTATTGGAGGTGATAACGCTGAAGCCGGTCATCCTCTCAATGGATGGCGCTCAATACAACATCAAAGACTGGGTATGTGTTTGCATGCATCGATACTTACAGCGGGAACTGTGGTCTACACTTACAGCAGTAATGTGCGCTCTTATACACACAAATGTTTGTGTATGTACACATATATACAAGTGTATATGTAGATGCTCGAGTCTCGTAGCACATCTGGTCGCTTTACATCTCTCCACCCAATTGCTTTCCAACCATCCTTCCTATGGCCCACCCAGGTTCGCCCGTTTGTGGCAGCATTCAAGGACCCTCTCCACCCTCTCCCACCTTCCCCCGTCTCAAATCCGCCTGTGTGTGGAGGAGAGCAAGGTGCCAGCATTCAAGGACCCTCTCCTTTCACACCACCCCTCTGTCTCACATCTGATGATGGTATTGATATTCTTCGCACCTTCCCTCTCGTCTCAGGTTCGCCCCTTTGTCGAGGAGAGCAAAGTAGCAGCATTCAAGGACCCTCTCCTTCCAGAAGCTTCCAACAATCTCATTCTCTCCCTTGCTTACATGATACATTTCATGATCTCTTCACCCATTGTTTCCCTTCCGTCCGTCCCTTTGCTTGTCCCACCCAGGTTCGCCCGTTCGTGGAGGAGAGCAAGGTAGCAGCATTCAAGGACCCCCTTCTCCCAGAAGCTTCCGACGATCTCAATTCTCTCCCTCGCTAAGATCGGCCTGCAATGCACCGCCCTCCCCGCCTCCTCCCTCGCATTCATCTCTCCACCTACTGCTCTCCTACCATCCCACCCTCCTGCCTCACCTTTCAGGTTCGCCCATTTGTCGAGGAGAGCATGGTAGCAGCATTCAAGGACCCTCTCCTCCCAGAAGCTTCCGACGATCTCATTCTCTCGCTCGCTAAGATCGGCCTGCAGTGCACCGCCCTCCCCGCCTCCTCACGACCCCCCATGTCCGAAGTCTCTCGCAAGCTCGACACCCTTAGAAGGGAGCACTTTCACAGCAGCGGCATGGATGGCCGAGATCCTTCCGACGTGGACCAACGACTGGCTAAGATTGACCAGGAGCTTGACAGGCGGGCGGAGTCGGGACTGTCGATCCAAGCGGAGTTTGTTCGGCTGAATATTATGTCGGAAAGTGGGGAGTATATTAAGGAGACTGGGGTTTCTGTTGCTACTGGTGGTTATTCCAACCGGTCTTCAGGGGTGCTGCTGCAGTCTCAGGAGATTTCTCAGGAGTTCTGCCAGGAGATCCCCAGTGGCAGGTGAAAAAGACTTGCAGCAGCAGCAGCTTTAACTTATTTGTGAGAAATGCACTCCCATTCTTTTGTGTTTTCTTTAAGATACTAATGTTGCACTGTTTCTGAAGTGTGCTTTTCTTTGTACCTATGTCAGGTACATAAATTGATTGTAACTCGGTTTGGGTTGTGTAACCAGCATTTGCTTGGCACTGTAACAAGTATAACGTAATCTTTAACATTTGGTGCACATTTTGCAACTACTGGTAGTGTTGAGTGGATTTGAAATCTTCATGACATGTCATGTGCAGGTATTATGTACAGTGCACACTGCAGAATTAAAATGTTAAGCATTGACTGAAGTCTCCTGTGGAAAAAAAGGAAACACATGAAGGTGAAAATCACTCAAAATGGAACTTCTGCGTAAGCATGAACATTGGTATACAACAAGCCCTACGCCATGCTGCAGAGAGGCTACAATCTCAGGTTCCCCCTCGAGCATCATGACTATTTCCCCTCTCCCCACAGGTGTATTCGCCAGTGCCTTCATGCTGTGAGCTGCTGTCAAGGTTACTTTCACTTCTTGGCCGCGGGTGCAGCCTCGGTCGCTGCAGGCTCCTGCACACCCTGTGAGGAATAATAAAGAGTGAGGGACAGAAAAAAGAGATGAGATGGGAAGCAGGAGGGAGATGGGAAGGAGAAACGGAGAGGGGAGAAAGGAAGGAGAAATGGAGAGGGGAGATGGGAAGCAGATCGGGAGGGACGGGGAGGGATGGCAGAGGGATGGCACGGGGGGATGGACGGGGCAGGGACGAGGGAGGGATGGCAAGGGACGGGGGAGGGACAAGGAGGGACGGGGAGGGATGGGAGGGGTGGATGATTGGGATGGGAAATGAGGCGAAAGGAGGGAGTAAAAAGAAAGCCAGCTCAGCAGCTAAGGACTTGTACACGTGAGCTAATTACCCCAACCACTCCATTTCACCGCACTACACCGAATCTCAGTCCTCCTTTCCCTCCTTTCTACCATCTCCACTTCACCTCACTCTTATGCTCACTTTCCCTCTCTACCTTCCCCTTCCCTTCCCCTTCACTCTCTCCTTTGCCCCTGCACTCAACCACTCACAACCGCCTCCCACCACACTCAACCACTCACGACCGCCCCACACCCCACTCAACCGCTCACAATCGCCCCGCACCGCACTCAACCGCTCTCAACCGCCCTGAAGCGCACTCAACCGCCCCGCACCGCACTCAGCCCATTCTCACCTGCGCCAACCGCTCCTCCCGCCGAGCCATCTTGCGCTCCCTGGCAGCCTTGCCCTTGGCGCGGCGCGCCTCGAACTGATCCGTGAGCGTCTTCTCGCGAACCTTCTCCGCCTTGAGCTTGTGAATGCTCTCCATGAGCACGCGCTTGTTCTTGTACACGCCGCCCTTGACCTTCATGTACAGCTCGTGGTACAGGTGCTTGTCAATCTTCTTCGCCTCGCGGTACCGCTTCAGCATGCGCCGCAGCACGCGCATGCGCCGCATCCACAGCACCTTCGTGGGCAGACGCGCCTCGCGCGTACCGCGGCGCTTACCTGGAGGCGGGGGGGGGAGGGGGGGGGCGGGCGGGGGCGGGAGGGGGGGGGGAGGCGGGGCGGGAGGCGGGGGCGGGCGGGGAGGAGGGGGAGGCAGGGAGGGGGGAGGGGGGAGGAAGGGGGAGGAAGGGGGAAGGAAGGGCGGACAGCGGAAGGAGAGGGTGAGAGGAAGCGGTGAGTGATGTGCTCTCCATGAGCACGCGCTTGTTCTTGTACACGCCGCCCTTGACCTTCATGTACAGCTCGTGGTACAGGTGCTTGTCAATCTTCTTCGCCTCGCGGTACCGCTTCAGCATGCGCCGCAGCACGCGCATGCGCCGCATCCACAGCACCTTCGTGGGCAGGCGCGCCTCGCGCGTACCGCGGCGCTTACCTGGAGGCGGCCGGGGAGGGGGGGGGAGGGGCGAGAAGGCGGGGAGGGAGGGGGAAGCGGAGGGGGAAGGGGGAAGGGTGGAAGCGGAAGGGGAGGGGAGGGGGAGGGGGAGGGACGCTGGTGAAATGTCACGCAGACGACGAATACTCCACCCACCCAGACTTGTAAATGCAGGCCTGAAGTCCATCAAACCGTTCCTTGACTGTCTCGCGTCAACCGAACCGGTTCTTCGTCCGTTATATGGTAACCAGACGCCGAACAATACTCTATCCACCCAAACTCGTGAGATTGTCTTAATAAACCCCTTGGAATTCCTCTCCGCAGGGCTCCACCCTACGCTAGCGACTTTTTGAGGCGTCTGAAAAGTCTCTGACAGAACTCCACCCTACGCTAGCGCCTGAAACAACGGCGACGGAACGACCATCGCGAGTTGAAACGAGCTGCTCGCTGTAACATCTCGACGGCCTCTCCGTAACGTGGGACGACCACGCTCGAATCGACTTCGGCGAAAACCCCACGCTATGCTACATCCTGAAGCCCGTTGACGAGCGCCGTTAAGAAGCACCATTGACAAAATGCATTCCACAGCCGACGACTCGATGGCAGATGCGACACATGTTTTAGTCGACTCTAAGATGACAAAAACGACAAACGCAGGACAGCACCGGTCGAATTCGATAAGCAGCGCGACGATCGTATAGAGAGACACTGACACACTCTCCTACGGGGCCCGGCCCTCTACTCCACCGGACGTTACATCGCTTCAGCTTCGCCCATCTCCTCGACGAACAACCCGCTCAACCGACAGGACATTCTGTTTGGTTCAAAAATTACTACGTTGCATCGCTTCAGCTTCGCCAATCTCCTCGACGAACAACCCACTCAACCGACAGGACATTCTGTTTGGTTCAAAAATTACTACGTTGCATCGCTTCAGCTTCGCCAATCTCCTCGACGAAAAATCTGCTGCACCGCCTGCCGGAAACATTGTCCACATCCTCAAAACAGCTTGTTACTGCAACCTAAGCGCACTACAGCCCAGTTTATCCCTCCAGTCTCCAGTCTTCAATCGGAAACTAGATAGAATCCGTAAGTCCTACACAGCCGTTTGATCCGAACCTGCGACGGCTTAGCACTCTCCTCCGAGACCCTAGGTTCCGACCGAAGACGGCTCGACATCCTGCTGCAAAGCTCTAGGGTCCGTGAGCCGTGCACCGGTGCAGCGCGCCCGTGCGGACAAGCCCTTGTCTACCGTCACGGTAAACTGTTACTTGAGCCGGGGTGTACGCCCTTCCGTCGCGCCAAGGAAAAGCAAAGGCGTGCCCCTCTCGATTCGACCACCGTCTAGAATCACTACCCGTATCACTACCGAGTCAGTCCCTGTCAATTCCTATCGTGGCCGGTGTACCGGCTCTTCCGCTTGGCCTCGATCAGCCGGTAAACGTAGAAGGGTCTTTTTACGGAAAAAAAAAAAAAGAAAGAAAAAAAAAGAAAGCAAAAAAAGAACTCATGACGCTATTAACAATTCACGACTCCTTACCGTGGCCGGTGTGGCGGCCCTTCCGCTTGGCCTCGAGCAGGCGGCGCGCGCGGAAGCGCGAGTGGATCTTCTGCGGCTTGCGGATGATGAAGCCGTCCTTGATGAGCTTGCGGATGTTTTGCCCTGAACGGCGAAACGGGGGAAAAGGGGGGGAGGGGAGGGGGGAGGGGAGGGGGGGAAGGGAGAGGTGAGGGGGAGTGGAAGATGAGAGTACAGAAGAGGGCAAGCATCTTCTGCGGCTTGCGGATGATGAAGGCGTCCTTGACGAGCTTGCAGATGTTTTGTCCTGAAGGGGGGCGACAGGGGACGAAAGGGGAAGGGGGAGTTGCGAAAAGGGGAAGGGGGGAGGAAGGGGGAGCATGTTACGCGGCTTGCGGAAACAAATGGACCCAGAAAGACCTCCAGCGTATGCAGCTAGATTCCTCAACGCTCTCGTTAAAAAAATGTGATTCTAAGAGCGACGCAGAACAGAAGCACTGCCAAGGCAAAGCTGCCTTGGAGTCGCAAATCCTGACAACGAATGCTACAAACATTCGAGTTGAACGGAGCTGACTGAAATCGGAATCTGGCTGGAGAAGCTGGCAGCCCATAATCCCATCTTTCTAACGAGATGAAGCGGCGGTAATGAAGCATGAGCGTGGGGTAAAGCGACGCACTGGAGTTGGGCATGGAGATCTCGTTGACTTCATTGGAATCCATCCACACCTACTCGAACCTTACAATATACTCACTGGGGTCTGGGAAAAGCGAACGCTACGAGCATGGGGGTGGAGGGACGCGATAGGAGCGATGAGGGTGAGGCGAGAGGAGCGAGGTTACGCACTGGAGTTGGGCATGGAGATGTCGTAACTTCATTGGGATCCATCCACACTTTTCCAAACTTTCACTAGGGTTATTGGGGTCCGGTAAACGAACGCTACAAGCATGACGGTGACGCGACGCGATAGGAGCGATGAGGGTGAGGGATGAGAATGAGGCGAGAGGAGCGAGGTTACGCACTGGAGTTGGCCATGGAGATCTCGTTGACTTCATTGGGATCCATCCACACCTTGTTCTTCCCGCAGTTCAGCACGCTCGAAGCGAGCCGCTTCTGAAGCTTAAGCGACACCATGGCTGCTGCGTTGTCTTCAGCTAGGTAAAGTTGTTAGGAAACGGGCTAACCCTAAGACGAGCGCGACGGCCTTAGGAGCCGGAAAAGAGAAGGCGGAAAAGAGGTAAGCCTAGTTACTTACACCTTAGGGAGGAAGGCAGAAAGGGGAGCAGGGGAGGGTGGGGGAAGAAGGAGAGCAGGGCGGGGGGAGCGGAAGGGGGAGTGGGGAGCAGGAGGAAATGGTGAGGAGGGGAAGGGAAAACTGGCGGAGGAGAGCGCAAGTGAATGTTTGAATTGGCGGAATGGCGAAGGGGACGGGAGGGAGGCGGAGATGGGGCTGAAAGGGGGGCAAATGAAATCTGTGAGCATTGGGAATGGCGCAAGACTGAGGACGGTAGGCGCACCTTGTGAGCGGCGGAGGATGTCACAGGCGGAATACTGTACTCGGTTTTGCGAAATCTGCTGAAAAAGCGGCGAATTTTGTAATGGAAAGGACTTGCTTCTGGTGGTCAGCCACCGGGCAGGATGGGAGTGATGGATCCTCCAGCTGTAGTTACTTTCGAGACACGTTTCGCCAGCCCAGAAAGGACATCGCGTGCCTCACGCACGCCTTTGGCGAGACGTAATACCCTTTCGCTCAGATTCCGGGTTTTAGCAAAACAATGTGTGTATCTTCCAGTGCCCAGTGCGGTGATTCGATACAAAATTGCGTCACAGACAGAATTCGAATACACAAAATGTGAGAACACAATAACCAAACAGCACATCCACGAACAGAGACAACAAAATTAGCCATTTAATTTATGTGCGTCACCTACTTTTCACTTTACACAAAAAAACAGAAGTTACTAGGCAAGGCATGTGGGATACATACCATGACCTGCGCGGTGCTGCTATGGCCCAACTCACAGTCCCCTAACTCACAGTCCCCTAGTTCGTTTAGTTCCCCATCCAGTGCATATCTGACTACTCTGACTGACACACTCCATACGCCATCTCTCTATCTATCATATCACTCTAGTTCCCACTAACCACTGACTTGAAAGTTCACTTGGTCGCAGCAATTCTCTTCAGGAAGCTCTTTAAAGATCAATCCATCAGACGAGTTCGCCCGCCTCTTGGTTCCGAAAAAGAAGAAGCCAATAGTGAGGCCAAGAACCACCGCAATGAAGAGACCAACATTGAAGCTCATGACAATGAGCATGATGGAGTAATTAAATATGAGGTTGAGCGTGTATAGGCCAGTCATTGCGAGTCGGTCGAGGAGGGGATTATTGCAGCCGGTGGTGCCAATAGAACTGGAGGCGGTGAAGGTCGAAGCCCGGAGGGTGGGAGGCTGAAAATATTTTAGTAGCAAGCAGGAGTGGAAATGAGTGTAGCATGCAGGAGTGGTGTAGCATGCAGGAGTGGTAATGAGTGTCGCAAGCAGCAGCGTAGCAAGCAGGAGTGTATAAAGCAAGAGTGGAAGGACGAGGGAGGACGGGACCCGCGTTAGCTTGACTCACCCGTGCTGTGCGTCCTTGACGCGGGATGTGCGATTCGCCGACAGCTTCAGCCGGAACGACGTGAGGAACTCGTGGAGCACGCAGAAGACAACAACGAGGAAGCACGCGAGCAGGTAAAACCCCCAGCTGCTCGTCTTCCAATTCTCGAACAAAATCACCACGTTCGGACCCCAGTTGAACCACATCTGCATCATCACCGTCGCTTTGCTCCCGCCGGTTTCGCCGCCGGTTACGCCGGCGGTTGCGTTTCCGCCGGTTGCGCTGCTGCTAGTGCTCATAGAATCTGGAACGTAGTTCATTTTGGAGGCATTCATGCCGCCGGATGCGGAACCACCACTCATGGAGCTCATATCGTGATTCATGGCTGTTGCCGGTTTCGTGGTTACTAGATGAGGATTTTCAGAGGGCGAAGAGTGGCGAAGTCGTGTCACCAGGCCAGAGATCTCCCCACCGCTCAGCAGGACCAGTGACGAACTAGGCGAGAGTTTTCAAAGGGTGGATTATCCGCTATGGTCTGTAACGGTCCGCTAAGGTTCAGCGAATGCTAGGAAACTCTAGTTCTCCATCCGATTGGGATTATGAGAATGCGGGAACTCGGGGCAATGTGGACCAGGCATGCCTTCACGTGACCCAAACCGCGATTAAGGCAACGAAGACGAGGCGCGGGGAGAGTGCTCCGATGGCTGCCAGGAGGGGACTAAAAAGGTAAAATACTCTGTTTTACCCCGCACGTTCCGCGCGTTCAAGCAGTGTTTCAGGGTTCCGCCGCCTAGCGGTTCAGTAGAAGGTGAATTGAGGCTCCAGTCTCGACTCTCTCGCACAGCTGCAGGCTTTTCCGAGTCGACTAACAATCGGCTGCAGGTTTCTTGTTCTGTTTCCTTTCCACACTGATCTCCCGTAACAAAACTCCCCTCGGTCGCAGTACTAGCTTGTCCCTTGACAAGCTGGAAAAGGGGAGGAAATGCTCGCTGACGGAAATGACTAGGGGAAGGCAGCTGGCCGCTAGCAACTGGCGCGGCGATAGTGGCCTAAACGGCGCTTCTAGTAGGTGGCAGGGACGAAAGCTTCAACTAGAGAATGCGACGAGCTGAGCGTGAGAACGATTTAGAAGAAATATCGGCTTGTATTGGCGGTGTGTAATTCGAATCAAACAGGCCAGCAATTTTGTGAATGGCGATGCGGGAATTCGATAAGTTTCGCACGGGGCAAGGCCCCGCGAAAAAAAATCGGTTGTGGTCGTGTGTGAGCCGTCTGTGACTCTGACAGCCACCATTCTGCGACTCGGGAGTTGCTGCTTCGATACTCTCCGCTACATGTTACAGTGATTGTTCAAAAAATTGGCCATTTGAGTGTCAACTATAAAGAAGCTGCTGAGTTGGTCAATAGAGATCAGCAAGGAATTGAGAACTTCCTTCACAACCCATGCATTGGCACTGTGCACCAAACCTGCACAGTACCTTTTTTTGTCCATTATCAGCCACCAGTGCTCATTACAATGCACACCAGCTTTGCCAAACCTTTTTTTGTTGTACACAAACAAACCAACACCGATATTTGAGAGCCAGCTTTTGATCCAGTAGGCATTATGCCCTTTCTTCCTGCTCTGGCCGATACGCTCCATGATTTCTCTCTCAAAACAACTCAGGTCAAATAATATCAACCGTTGACCTGAAACTTCACATGATGTGGAGTGACTTAAGAAGAGTCGAAACCCGGCCTACTTCAGGAGGGTCTTCAAGGCTCAGCTTTTACCGTAACTGGCGCCCCCCCCCCCCCCCCCCCCTCTCCCTCCCTGTTCTCCGTGTCTTTCACCCCCAAGTTCCAAACCAACCCACATCATACATAATCTAACCCCAAAATATCCCCTTTATGGAGCGGCGCAGCACACATCTGAAGTACCCCCGCCACAGCAATTCTCCTCCTGCGCCTCCTCCACAATCGGCCTATCCGACGAGTTCTTCCGCCTCTTGGCTCCGAAAAAGAAGAAGCCAATAGTGAGGCCGAGAACGACCGCAATAAAGAGGCCAATGTTGAATGTCATGATGATGAGCATGATGGCATAGCTGAAGGTGAGGTTGAGTGCGTATATGCCCGTCAATGCCAGGCGGTCCAGGAGCGGCCGCCAGTGGTGCGCCTTCTTGCTGCTGGCGACGTTGGTGAAGTTTTCACTGGGAGGGAGTGGGAGGAGGGAACGGAGAAAGAGCAGGGACAGGGAGGCAGAGCAGGAAAAAAGAAAGGGCGCAGGGAGAGAGAGAGGGAGAATGAAGAGGCTGATATTAAAGCTCATGACGATGAGCATGATGGCATAGCTGAAGGTGAGGTTGAGTGCGTATATGCCCGTCACTGCCAGGCGGTCCAGGAGAGGCCGCCAGTGGCAGGCGCTCTTGCTGCTGGCGACGTTGGTGAAGTTTCCACTGGGAGAGAGTGGGGGAGGAAGAGGGAGAGGGTGGGGAAGAGAGATATGAAGCTACTTAGCACGTATCCTGCTCCAGGAGAGGCCGCCAGTGGCAGGCCTTCTTGCTGCTGGCGACGTTGGTGAAGTTTTTACTGGGAGAGGGGGGGATGAGGGTGGAGGGAGAAGGAGGGTGAGGGAGGAAGGAAAAAGGAGAGGGATGGAGGTGAGGGATGAGGGAGGAAAGCGGATAGAGGGAGAGGAGGGTGGTAGCAGCAAGAAAATAGATGGGGGGCAGAGGGCAAGTGTAGTTTTGAGGCGCCTCAAAGATAGAGTGAGAGGAGGGTGGTAGGAAATAGATGGGGGGTAGAGTGTAAGTGTAGCAAGCGAAAGTGGTAATGAGTGTAGTAAGAAAGACTGGTGGTGTGGACGATGTGGGTTGAGTGAGACGGAGCAGTAACGGATGAGGTAAGTGGAGAGAGAAAGAGACGGAGTGGGCAAGGGGAGTGAGCAGTAGAGAGTGAGCAATGCCGGCTGAGGAGTGTGAGGGGCCGATACAATAAGGGCAATGAGAAGCAGCGAGTATGGCAATGATAAAAGGCATCGTGGCGGGGGAGAGTGGGAGGGCGGGAGGGCGGGAGGGCGGGAATGGGGAGAGAGGGGCGGGGTGGAGGGAGGTAGGAGGAAGAGAACTACGTCAGCGTGGCTTACCCTTGCTCGGCGTCCTTGACGCGGCATCGTCGGGTAGCAGACAGCTTGAGCCGGAAAGACGTCAGGAACTCGTGAAGCACGCAGAACACAACAACGAGAAAACGTCGTTCTTACCCTTGTTCGGCGTCCTTCACGCGGCATCGGCGAGTAGCAGACAGCTTGAGCCGGAACGACGTGAGGAACTCGTGAAGCACGCAAAACACCACCACGAGGAAGCACGCGAGGAGATAGAACCCCCAGCTGCTAGTCTTCCAATTTTCGAACAGAATAGTCACGTTCGGGCCCCAATAGAACCACATCTGCATCATCATCATCGACATGCCTCCGCCAGATGCGCCGCCGGATGCGCTGCTGGTGGAGGGAGAATCTGGGTCGTAGCTGGGGCTGGAGGTATCTGCGCCGCCGGATGCGGAGCCGCCGCCCATGGAGCTCATGTCGTGGCCCATGGCGCTCATGTCGTGACTCATGGCTGCTGGCTGCTGCTGCCGGTTACGCGGTTACCAGATGTATTTCGCCCAAATGCGAAGTGTGGCGAAGACGTGCCAGGCCAGGAACCCCTCCACCGCTTAACAGGTTCGGGACAAATCTCGCGGTTACCAGAGGGTCAGCTGCGGTCCGTATGGCCTTCTATGGCCAGTTATGACAGCTATAACTCTTTCTGCGGTTCGCTAATAGTCCAACAATTGGCACGTCCCCGCACTATATCTGTAAGTCACACAAGAATTTAAGTGGGGTATTCGAGAAGCTGAGAAGGCGAGGCAATGCGGATAAGCCGTCCCGACAGGAGCTAAGTCTCGGTCGGCACACTCCGGGCCACGACTAAGGCTTTGATTCAAAAAGAAGATGCACAAACTGCCCTTTTTTGTCATTCAATGGCAGTGAGCCGCTGGTCTCTAGGTATAGTATTTTGCTTCCGATCGTTATTAAGCTCCTCTCCGCGCCTAACAAGGAGCAATTAGAAGCTCTAGCCTGCCGCCAAGCTGGAGGTTTCTCGATCGGTTTCTCGTGCTGCTTCCTCTCCACCGCACTGGTATCTCCGTTACAGTCCTTCTGTCGTACGGTTCTGTACGATCCGAGCCTATTTCTTTAGCAGTTAAAAAGGGAGGCTTCTCTGACCAAAATGACGTGGCGGCAGGGCAGCTGGCCGCTAGCTACTGGCGTGGCGGCCTAGAAACACTATCCTGTCTTGAGTCGCGAGCGAGGTAAGAACCGTCAACAGAAGAACGTCAATGAATGATCGTCGTGAGAAAGAATACGGAAATGAGGGGATGGATGTGGATTAGTTGGTCGAGAAAGGAGAAACAGGAAGGACTAACTCAAAATGAAGCATTCTTGTCCATGGCGGGTGGTGCAATGGCGTTGTCCCACGGCTCCAGTTTCACACGGTACGATTTGACCAAGTCCCTCCTCGCCCAAAGCAGAACGGCGTGTAGCAGAAATACGTACAATACACTCGTACAGATTCGGAACAGACCAGAATGGCAGGGGAGAACCAGCATGCGCGTACGGTACGAGAGTGTGTCGCGCGAAAGCTACTGTATACCTGGTAGGGGGAGTGGGGGGGACGGTACACTTGCTCGTACGCAGGCATCAGTTTGTTCCCGACATAATACCGTACGCCGCTTCTTCCACATCCCCGTCACGAGTGTTCGTTTCCGATTGGTGCAAAACTCTTGCCAGCAAACAGGTGGATTTCTCACGTACGGTACAACATTTCGTAAGAACTTTCCATCACAGGCGACGCGGGAATGTGTGGTTGGCCGTTGCCTTTCCTGACATACCGCGGCTCGGGAGATCTTCCGTTTGATACGTCTCGCGGTTGTTCTATGTTGCAGTGCCTGTACTAAAACGACGTCACATATCTGGTTACTGTTCGAAGCTCTCCGTATGTAACTGAGATTGTAACCACGCCCACCGCGAGAGCAGAGTTCAGCTTTGACGGTGTCGTGCGTTCAGTGGAATTGGTAAGTGAATACGCCTTGTTAAATCTTCAGGGTCGTCGTACTAAGTACGACTGATCAAAAGGCTGACCAGTCCAGCTGAAATGGCAGGGATTTACTGGGTCAACAGATTCTGCTCGTGTACGCACCCTTTGAAATTCGCAACAGGTAGTGGGGGCAACAAGAAAACCAGAATTGTGAATTACCATATTTCATGGCACACTATACATTCACTTGTCTGGTACACACTCACTCACGCATGCACCCTTGTCACATTTGTAGCCTTCAGAACCATCAATCATAGGGTGTAAAAATAGCTGCCCCTGGATGTATTCTTGGATATGCACACATGTTATTGCGTAACACAACCATTGCATGTAGGTACGCCTCATGTTTATATCTCCACGGCCTCCGTCTGGTCAACCACCCGCCGAACCCTCACGTACACATCAGTGCCATAGCCAGGAATGCTAACCATCTGAGGTGTTGTGAAAGAAAGCAAAAAGAAAACAGCAAAGACAAAGAGGCGTTAATCTATGACGGAATGTAAGGATGAGCAGGAAGCCGGGCAAGACTGAAACCACAGGTGTGTTGGCAAATATGATAAAAAGGAGGAAATTTCAAGTGCGTGAAAATTCTGAAGTGCATAAAACCACTCCTATTCGTCCATACTGCCATCCACACCTACATATCACTCACACATGGATGCTGCCATCCACACCCCAATACCACAATACACACCTCGATATTGCCACCAAGGTACTGCGCCAGCAACCGCGAGTAAGGCAGCCCGAAACCCAACCCTGCCATGGGCGTCCCTTGGGAATCCACAGGTCCACCGGCTGTCCAACGAGCAAGGGGGTATATGGATGCAGGATCAGGTGATTCATCAGGTGATTATTCAGGCGACTCGTAAACAGCTCAGCTAGCCCAAATGCCAAGCCCGAACCAAATCCCAGCCCGACCCAGTGCCTGCCCGAACCAAATGCCAGCCCAAACCAAATGCCAGCCCGAACCAAACGCCAGCCCGAACCAAACGCCAGCCCGAACCGAATGCCAGCCCGAGCCGAAAATCTCAGCGTAACCCAAACCCCAGCCCAACCCAAATCCAAGCCCAACCTAAATCCAAGCCCAACCCAAATCCAAGCCCAACCCAAATCCAAGCCCAACCCTGATGCCAGCCCCGCCATAGGTCTTACCTAATGACCTCAGGGTGCTAGAGGTGTTGCCGTCACCCTCCACTGATGAGTACCCATAGCGCCACACCTGGGTATGGGCAGGTGGGGTGAGGGGAGGGGGAGAGGGAGGTTTTATGACAGGGGAGGGTGCTAGAGGTGGTGCCGTCACCCTCCACTGACGAGTACCCATAGCGCCACACCTGGGTATGGGCAGGTGGGGTGAGGGGAGGGGGAGAGGGAGGTTTTATGACAGGGGAGGGTGCTAGAGGTGGTGCCGTCACCCTCCACTGAGGAGTAACCATAGCGCCACACCTGGGGATGGGCAGGTGGGGCGAGGGGAGGGGGGAGGAGAGGTTAAATGGCAGAGGAGGGTGCAATTGGTGCCGTCACCCTCCACTGACGAGTACCCATAGCGCCACACCTGGGTATGGGCAAGTGGGGCGAGGGGAGGGGGAGATGGAGGTTATATGGCAGGGGAGGGTGCAATTGGTGCCGCCACCCTCCACTGACGAGTACCCATAGCGCCACACCTGGGAGCGGGTAGGTGGTGGGAGGCGGGGTTGGGGAGAGGATATATGGCTTGGATGGGTACCACTGATGCCCCCACCTCCACTGACGATACCCATAGCGCCACACCTGGAGATGGGTAGGTGGTGGAGGCGAGGCGAGGAAAGGGGAGAGGGGGGAAGAGAGGTTATATGGCAGGGGAGGGTGTGACTGGTGCCGTCACCCTCCACTGACGAGTACCCATAGCGCCACACCTGGAGATGGGCAGGTGGTGGGAGGCGGGGTTGGGGAGAAGGAGGGATGGGAGAGGATATATGGCTTGGATGGGTACGACTGATGCCCCCACCACCACTGACGAGTACCCATAGCGCCACACCTGGGTATGGGTGCACAAGGGAGGGGAAAGGCGGAGTGAGGGAAGGGAAAAGGCTATATGGCTGGCGTGGGTACCACCGATGCCCCCACCTCCACTGACGAGTACCCATAGCGCCACACCTGGAGATGGGCAGGTGGTGGAGGCGAGGCGAGGAAAGGGGAGAGGGGGGAGGAGAGGTTTTATGACAGGGGAGGGTGCGACTGGTGCCGTCACCCTCCACTGACGAGTACCCATAGCGCCATACCTGGAGATGGGCAGGTGGTTGGAAGCGGCGGAGGGGGGTGGAGGGGGGTGGAGGGGGGTGGAGGGGGGTGGAGGGGGGTGGAGGGGGGTGAGGAGAGGTTATACAGCAGGGGAGAGTACGACTGGTACTGCCACCGCCCACAGAAGCATAGCCTTAACGACGCACCTGAAATGGACGCATGAGGGGGAGGCGGGGTAAGGGCATGCAGGCATAGCTTCGGAACACTCAGCCTCTCACCTCACCTTTCCTCCCCTCCTTGTGACTTTTGAGTCGACTCAAAAGTCATGAGGGGGAGGCGGGGTAAGGGCATGCAGGCATGGCTTCGGAACACTCCTCTCACCTTCGCTTCCATCCCCTCCTTGCAACCCTCCCCTCCCTCCTCCCCTTGCTCAACCAACCTCTAACTTGCCCCTAAACCTGACTCCGACCCTCTCTCCCCTTCCCCCTCTTCCCCCTTTCCCTTTCCTTGCAGCTTCTCTGGAATGCCCCCTCCCAGATCAGACAACTAGTGGCACGGAGGCATGGGCTCAGAACTCCCCAGCCTCCCCATCCCCCTTTTCCCCCATCCTTCCCTGCCGTCTCACCTTGGCTTGCAGCTTCTCCGGAATGCCCCCTCCCAGATCAGACACCTAGTCGCATGCATGGACCCCTCCCCACCCGCCTCTCCCCAACCTCCCTCTCCCCTCTCATTCCAACATACTTCCCCCCTCAGACTTTCCCCTCTCCCTCGCCTCCTCTCACCTTGGCTTGCAGCTTTTCTGGAATGCCCCCTCCCAGATCAGACACCTAGTGCCGTGCAGCCATCGGTTCAGAACTCCCCAGCCTACCCGTTTCCCCCCTCTCCACCCTACCCATCCCCCTTTTCCCCCACCCTTTCCCGCCGTCTCACCTTGGATTGCAGCTTCTCCGGAATGCCCCCTCCCAGATCAGACACCTAGTCACATGCAGGCATGGGGGATGGGATGGGGATGAGAAGAAAAATGGGGCATGGGATGGGGATGAGATGGGGATGGGATGGGGATGTGACTATAACGAGGGGGAAGCTGGCTCAGGCAAAACACAACACTGTTCTTGTAGGATTGCAGCATGGGCTCACCTTGATTGTGACCTCGTTTGATCCAGAGCAGACTGTGATTATAACGGGGGGGAACTTGGTTGAAGAGGAGGGCATCGAGTCCCCTGATTGGTCTGTGTGATGCTC